GTTTTGTTTTTTCTTTACCATTAGGATTATTTTTTAAAGATTAGAGAATTATATAAAAATACTCCTGAGAAAACCTTCAATTCAGGTGGGTTAAAAAAGTCTCATTTGCTTCTCCCTCTCTAGACCACTTTATACCGAACATCTTGCTTCCTACATTGAGTTGAAAAGTTGAAAAATAAAAAGATTTGTGGAAAAAAATCAACATTATTTCTTATATACTCTTGGTAAAAACAATATTTGGCTTTCCTTGTTTTCTTTGATTTATTTTTGATGGGTACAATATTTGAAAAATACCGTAAAAAACAAGGATGGTGTGATTAATTTTTCCATGACCATGAAGGTGGTAGATGTTCATGATGCATACGTTGCTCTAACAAATACAGCTTTCCATTACGATCAGGACTTCCTTTAGTATATGTGACATAAATCAGCATTTTGTCAAAAGCAGTTCTCAGAGATCCTGGTACATGTTAGCCATGCTTCCACCCTCTTGAAATGTGAATTTTAAGCAAACTTTTAAAAGTTAAAATAAAGGAATTGTGAATTTGTCTCCATTTAATTTAAAGTAAATTAACCAAGCGGCACAAAGAGTAATGGGATCATACATTGTCATCACTTCTACGCCATCATGCATGGCTGCATAAAACAGGACGTAGAGGCTGCGATCTGGCACTGACAACAGATAAGTAATGAGGTTAATTTTAAATGAATGTGTTGCTATCGGGCAAGTTGTTCTTATGTTAGCATTTCAGCTAGTAATGGCGATGTTCCTTCCTGCCATGTTTATGTGCATAGCAGAAACATCTGGGAAGACACCGACAGCTGAAACAGTCATGTGAGGTAAAGGTTTGCTAGGTCAGAGCTGATTTGAAAAAGTATTTCCATCTCCTGTTTTGCACATGAACCCTTTTAGTAAAAGCCAAAAACCACCTCATGCGAGTGTTAAGACAATTTTTGGAATTTGAGGGAGATTTTTTATTGTTTTATTTTTCCGTTTCTATAATACCAAATCTCTGAAAAGCAGACAAAACAGTTATAATTCTCTGAACGTTTTATTAACAACGGAATTGATTTGACGCATCGGCAAACCTCTGCGCGTGGAGACAACAGGTTAGTGACCACGTCTTTCTGGAAGTGGACGATCACAAACGAGTGAGTCACTAACCTGGTCTTATAGTTCAGTCTGAGTTCAGAGTTAGAAGATGGTTCCGGCCATCTTACTGGCAACACAGTGCAGAGACTCCCAGACACAGATACATTGGAGGTCAGAGGACATGTAGGAGATTAGAACCAAGCAGACGGATGTAGGCAGAATAGTCTATAGGGCAAAGCCGATGTTGGAGACCTGGTCGATTATTCGGAGTCAGGTTACAGTTACAGGTTCCTTTCACAATAGGGCTGACAGGCTGGATGAGGGTGGGTTCTGGTCAGTACACAAGCAGGTAGAGAACAAGTAGGAGTCAGAAGACTGGTCAGGCAAACAGATCAGACGGGAATAGGCAGGCTCAGAGGTTGAGAAGCAGAAAGGATCAGGATCAGGCAGTTGGAACACAGGTATGCTGTAAAATGTCTGCCCAATCAGCTCTAAATAATCTGGCAATGATGACTGGTCTGAAGGGTGGTTAAATAGAGGGTAATGCAGGTGGTTAAGATAAGCAGCTAATGGGAACTGGGCGGAGCTAAGCAGGTGTGTTCTAATTCTGAACTATCGCATGGTCTGGTCTGATCACTAATTTCAAAGGTTAATGAAAACTCATGCTAGTGACTAAGTCTGGTTCTGCTGGAGGTTTCTTCCTGTTTTAATTGAGTTTTTCCTCTCCACTGTCGCTACAAGCTTAGTATGAGGGATTTCCTTTGAGTGAATGAGTCGATAAAATCAACTCATTCGAATCAATTGACTGTATCATCTGGTTGAACTGTAAAGGGCCTTGAGATGACATGTGTTGTGAATTGGCGCTATAGAAATAAACTGATATGAATTGATTTGAAATTGACATGGCTAGCTTCATCTAGGGATTCGTATAGATGAGAAAATTCACATCATCAGTTTTGTTTGCTTTGTGTTCACGCAGAAATGTTTTCTACCAGGCTAAAAAAACTCCATTATGTTTCTTCTAAAATATTTCTCTCATTTCAGTATTGAGCTGATTGAGAAGAACAACGGAGGAAGCAGAAAATCTGTCTCGTGGGGTTTCCATTGCTATTTGGGTGTATTAAGGGTAGGATTGCATCTATTCACCGCTCCACATCACCCAATGGGATGTAATCTCTTTGGTCTCCAGATTCACCCTTAATTTTATTTTCTTAATTTTTTAACCACATACTGAAAATAATCTCTGAAATTGAGACTCATTGAACCAGGGTATGATTGGAGTGATTTGAAGACTAATTTCAGGGCATTTCTGCTTATAACGTACGTCAACCATATAGTCCCTGTTATTTTCTATCAAACATGTCACAGCAGCCCCGTTGGGGTGTTCTGGTACTCTAGGCCATCTGCTTCTAGTGGGCAGCTATTCCACATACCTTGTTAACCATTTTGACCTTTGACACCAAAAAAGGCTTTTTACATAGACACAAACTGCTGCTCTCAGAATGTATACTCTTTTTTTTTTTTTGTCTCTGCTGCTCTCACTACATCACAAACAGTTCCTGTTTTGTAATGTGATGAAAACTGACAACGAATTTTCACTTTGCTCTATCTGTGCGTCCGCCAAGCTTACTTGCCGTTTTGTTTTGCTCTAATTGACCAATTTGAGCCATTTTGCATTCTTCCAAATGCGTCCTTATCCACACAGACTGTTCATTTCCTTACATCAGAATAACATCACTATGTTGCAGCCTTTGATGTGAACAAACCTTAGTCGTAGTCATCCACTCAAAATATTTCACTCTAGCTGTAGTGAATCTGAACATGCATTCACTTTTTGAAATGAGTGACAAAAATGTGAACATTTTCTTAACACTCAGATACTTTAATATGTACCTCTATGGCTGTCTATTTCTTTTTTTGTGTTGCCTTGTGATGGGCTTGTGACTTCTTCAGGGTGTCCCTCTCAGTTGTTGCCCACTGCAGTGAGGCATGTGCCCATTGTGGCCTTAAGACTTGTAAGGATTTATCAAACATAGATTAATGTTACACAGTTGGTTAGGCATATGAAATAGTTTCTGAAAAAACCCCATCATGTCCAAAGCTGGGATGAGTCAGAATCAATCAAAAGTCCTTGTTTGGTGGCTGAACATTAGCTAACATTTATGCTGTGAACTCTTTGGCTACAGAACTAAATCTTGAGCCTCATCCTAAAATTCCCTTTCAAGCAGCCTCTCTTTGTTGTAATCTTTTCAAGCTTTGGCTGCTTTTTCATTTTCTGTTCAGTTCCGCAGTATTGTAGAATCACTTACGTTTTGTTTGATAAGCTACTTAAATTGATCCTCCAGATTTTCTTCAAAGATGAGATCTATTTCAAGGTTATATTTAGCTGTAGTCTGAGCGTCTTCAGAGATTCCCACAGAGCAGCCACAATCAAAGAGCATTCATGTCATGTTAGAACAGCTCCAGTTTAAAAAATCTCATCTTTAACCCTCCTTCACTTTAACATTAAGTAATCATATGATCTAATTGGATTAAATTCAATTAATTTTCTTTATAACATATATCCTCTTAGGGCACTTTACCCAAAAGTCTGTTCAAACTAGCTAAAGATGTAATGCCTTTCTCAGTTTCATGAAAGTAAAGACACAAAGAGAGTTACCGACTAGAAGATTATTTTTGGGCAAACCCTTGTTTAGAAAAAAGAAGAAAAAAACTCAGAGTGAATCGTGCAGTGATTCATCTACAGGTATCACACAACTTGGCAAAACAACCAGTTCTAAATGGGATCTCTTTACCCTTTATCATGAGCAACACACAAAGCCATGTTTTGTTCTTCTTCTGTAACTGAGCCTATCAAGTGGACAGGTAAGAGCCTGATTGGCAGAATGTGTATTTTACCACTAGCAAGGTGGATTCCAGAGGGCTGTTAGCTTAAAACCTGGCATACTGTATAGATTAACTGAATGATGGCACATCTTCTGCCAGCCCTTTCTCAGGAGTTCTTCCTCTTAATTAAAAACTTTGACTTTCAGAGACTTTTCGTGGCAGATTAAACATTTTCATGGAGAAAGGGATGGATTACACATACTGATATATATATATATATATATATATATATATATATATATATATATATATATATATATATATATATATATAATCTAAAAAACATGTAATCATATTGTTTGAATTTGATTATAGGGGAGTCAAATTAGCTAATATTGTAAAGTATGAATCAAATGCATTAAAGAGGCATAGTGGTGAGAGTGGGAATATTCTACTGAAGAGTGTAGCCTGATTAATCACTTTCAACGTTAAATAAAAAGACATTAGTTTTATTTTGTTATGCATTTATCCAAAACATTGAGGATGGGTGTGCCTGATTGCATGTCATGCATATGTATATAACACTTAATTTTTTATAAGAACACCTGATTTCCCCCCCCTGTTATAATGATGCACAGTGTGTGATCTGTTAGAGAAACAACATTGTGGTTTTAATTTGACAAAAATTGAATGAATCACAAAACATGTCTCGCTTCCCTCTACAGGAAACGAGAGATTCTGTTCACACAAGGCAACTATGAATATGAAAGATGAAAAGCAGAAGTCTGGTACTAGAGACATTACACATAAAAATATTAGAAAAGCAGAAAAGAAAGTTTGAGATAATATTATCTCATTAAAAGTGTAAACTAAGCATATGACCCATTATTTTTAGTATTATTTTAAACAGGTGTTTGGTTTCTTTCTCAACCTTAATTATAAAGTTTTAATCAGGTAATCTACACCGTTATGAATCGGTGCTTTCCTCTAAGCCCCGCCCCTTTCCGTTCCCACACAACGACCAATCAGCGACGCCGCTTCCCCTCGGTGGGACGTAACGTCAGCTGGCGTCGTGTCGGGATTGGAATGTTAGCGACCAACAATCGGAACAACTGAGCACTCGGTAATTGGACACTGGGACCGAGGAATACCGCCGACCACCCCCCATCTATTCCTCCACTTTGAGGCTGCTGCTCGCCTCCCTCTCCTCGGCCGGATAACTTCGCTCCTCTCCTCCGATGAGGTTTTTATGTTTATTTGTGAGGGAATGAGCGGAGGTAAGAAATAAGCAGAGAAATGCAGGGATTTGTCAGGTTACAGTTGGATCGCTGAAACGCCTCCCGGTGTTTTGATTCTTCCTAACCGGGAAACATGGAGCGATAGAGGGACTGCATCCAGGCGGAGAGGCGATCACATCCAGCCCGGGCTTTACCTCCACGTCTGGGAGAGCCTCAGGGACCCCAGCGGCTGTTTCCCCCCGTGGAGCTCCAGCCTCTGAATCCAGCCTGGATGAGGGGAAGGAGCCGCGGCTCAGAGGCTCCGGGAAGGTCTTTGTAGGTGCGTTGCTGGATGTGGTAAAAACTCCACAAAAGCGGTTTAAAATCGCCCACATGCACTGGATCAATCCCCGGATCTCGGAGCACTACACACAGACGGGGGGTTGGGGATGGAGCGATGCAGCCGGGGCTGGTGAGAGCCTAACTTGGGGCCACTTTAGCTTTGTTATTCCTGAGCAAGTCGCCTCTGTTCCCGGGACACATGCAGGCCAAAAAACGCTACCTGATCCTGCTGTCCGCCGGAGCCTGCCTGGCGCTGCTCTTCTACCTCGGAGGCGTTGAGCTTCCAGCGGCCAGGAGGAGCCGGCAGGACCGCAGCAGGAACGGGCACAGACCCGAGCAGCCGTGGCCCCACTACTCGGACCCTTTACACAGCTTCCTACCGTGGGATCAGACGGACACCGAGGATTACAACCTGCACATATCTCCGAAGCAGAAACGGGAGGTGAACAGGAGCGTTTACAGAGGCAGGAGGTGCCGCATGGATTCCTGCTTTGACTTCTCTCTGTGTGAGAAGAACGGATTCAAAGTTTATGTTTACCCCCAGCAGAAGGGGGAGAAGATCTCTGAGAGCTACCAGAACATCCTGTCCACCATCGAGGACTCCAGGTTCTACACCTCAGACCCGGCCCAGGCGTGTCTGTTCGTCCTGAGTTTGGACACTCTGGATCGGGACCAGCTGTCCCCGCAATATGTCCACAACTTAAAGACAAAGATCCAGAGCCTGCCTTTGTGGAACGACGGCAGGAACCATCTGATATTCAACCTGTACTCCGGCACCTGGCCGGACTACACGGAGGATCTGGGCTTTGACATCGGCCAGGCCATGCTGGCCAAAGCCAGCATCGGCTCGGATAACTTCAGGCCCAACTTTGACGTGTCCATCCCACTCTTCTCTAAAGAGCACCCTCGGACTGGAGGAGAGAGGGGCTTCCTGAAGTACAACTCTATCCCGCCCTTCAGAAAGTACATGCTGGTGTTTAAGGGGAAGCGCTACCTGACCGGGATCGGCTCGGACACTCGGAATGCCTTATACCACGTCCACAACGGGGAGGACGTGGTGCTGCTCACCACCTGCAAGCACGGGAAGGACTGGCAGAAGCACAAGGACGCACGGTGCGACAAGGACAACGCAGAGTATGACAGGTAAGTTGGATTTCAGGGCTGTTGAAGCTTCTCAAAACTTTTACGCACGATGCGTAAAAGTGCGGCTTACCCGCATCCAAAACCAACAAAATTCTCACTTCTCTCTTATTTTGAGTGCAATGAAATGTAAAGTGATGCATTTGAGTAGAAAATGCTGCATTTTATTTTTTTAAATTATACTGGATTTGATTTTTTTTCCCATATGAAGCTTTATCCATTTATAGATGCATACTAATCAGAAAATGTGTGAAATATTCCCCAATCTTTGGTTTCATTGAGGACTAATGAATCTATTTCTAGTTATGTAGTTTTATTTGTTTATATTAGAAATAGAAATCCCATCTAAATGATCCGACAGAGGAGAGTTAAGTGTCATATGTCATGGGAAGCATGCCTGGTATTAATCAAATGGATATTTGCTCCTGCAGAATATGGATTTGACACTGTAACTAATGTCATGTAGATATTTTAAAATCAACCAAGTTTCTTAACAAACACTGGTTAAGGAAATAAGTGAGGAAATATTCATTTACAATCCCTCCTTCCATCCAAACTGTTGTGGGATTGAGGTCTTGCTCAGGGTAAGGGTATGATTTGAGCAGGATACATAAACGTTCTGCTCTCCAGTAGGTCACCACTCCCCCACACAAAAGTTTGAGAGAATAAACGCAGAGCCAGGATCCCCTCAACCTTGCTGTTATCTCTTGAAAGTCTTGCTCTCTCCTGCCTTCGTCCAGCTCAGTTGAAACACAGACATGTTAGGACATGTAGAAAGAAGCATCTCTAAACACAACATCAATAAACAGGAGAATCATTCAATAACATCAAAGTTCTGTCGGTATGTGAAATCCTTACAACATAAACGGATTTCAAATGTTGATACTTGTAATTAATTCAAATTATAAGACAAATTCAGAAGTGTAAATTCTATAGAAATGGTGCTGGTTTGAAGGACTAAATAAAAAGCATTTTAGAGGAAGTTTATTCAGCATCATTCATCCTCCTAAGAGTTTTAAATGCATGATCATTACTTAAAGTGGATGCAAAGTCAAGCTTTGTATCTTTAAAATAAAGCTAATGATACAGTTAACTAATCAGCAGTAAAGCAAGCAAACATCTCAAGTTTGCTTTTAAAAATGTCTCAGTAATCTAAACAGGCCTAAAGTTACCAAAGAAGATACTTTTAAACTTAAGTGACACTCTGTGTTTTAGAGTGTTGCTCTTTTCTGTAGTGAGAAAAGCAAATATTCTGGTATCTGCTTGTATCTAAGTGACAGAAACTGTTCAGTAGGCGATGGAAAACATGGCGTGTATCATTTTTAATGTATGAATTTTAAAATGAATCCAGTATCTGATTATTGGTGGGGTTAAATATTAAAAGAGAACTTGCTGAAAAAAGGGGAAGTTGGATAAGAATTGCTTTCAATGATCTCGTCACTTCATGCAAGAATGTATTCTAGAGGGTTTAAACTGTTTAATCTGATGAAATGGTTTATAAAATTAAGCTAATAAACAATAAAGGTTAGAAGAAAACTTAGAATAAACTTAAAATACGTAATTTTAGAGCAGCAGTCATATTTTTCCCCTAATTCCCCTTCATAGGTTGTTTTGTATAAGTGATTCTGCAGACCTGATGTTCCACTTGTAGATCAATGGTCTCCCAGCATGAGCGATTTAACTCCCACCTCCACCAGTCTGAACCCTGGACATCCACTCGTCTCCCTCCCTCCTTTCCCTTTTTTTCCCCCAGACAGAAATCCACTTTCTTACCTTGCTAACTGGGAGCACAGCAGCCTTTAGAAGGATATGCACCAACATGTCCGATTTTCACCGGGTATTTAGTGCAAATTAAGTGAAAGTCGACCATGGGAGCTCTCAGCTTTGAATCTACTCTTAACTTTAGGGGGACCTTATCCTCCTGCACTTACATGCTTCCTCCTGTGTAGTTTATGTATAGCTGCGGTGCGCTACACCTTCTGATTGAATTATAAAGTGATTTGGTGCTAATAAATCAGTCATAAGGGGTTAATTACAGCTTTAATTTACAGAGGATGGTAGTATCGTTTCTATGTGGCCCCCAGGGGACGGTGAATTACCTCTAATTTTGGAAGCCTCGGTTTTGTCAAGGTGGTTATTAATGAACCCCCTCCTCCCTCCCCTGGGTTAACAGCTGTAAATGTTCGGTATGTTTTAATGCAGCGGGGCGGCTTTATCTCAGGTTCACAGGGTTGAGCTTGACAGTCAGGTTGAGTCCTTTGGGAGTGACATCAGTTTGATTTGCTTTGGTTGGCACGCAGAGAGCTTGGATGAAGTGGAGGCATGTGGTAACAACCCTTGTCGGCGTTGTTCTTAGAGGGCGTGTGTGTAACTGCTGCTGAGGTTAAAGGCAAAAGGGCAGCCCATTTGAGAGCGAGCCGGCAGACATATTTCAGTCCATCCTGTCAGAGCGCGTGGGGGGGGGGGGGGGATAGAAGCTACAGGGACGAATGAGGAGTTTTCCAGCTCTACATTTTTCTTGAACTCAGAGTGAACTCCAGAACCTCACAGACTGACTCGTAAAGTGGAAAAGCGCTGGAACAAAACTTCACAAGCACGCACTTGTCTTTCCATTCGTCACCCTGTCTCACTCTCCGTCCCTCCGGACGCCTCAGGAGAGACGTGTCATCCATTACCTGACATTCCAGGCGTTTCTGGACAACCCACCTCTGCTCCGTGCATCGCTCCATCTCCCAACGGATCAAACCTCTTCTCCAGATCATCTTCCAATCAGCTGATCGATCCAGCTGGTGGCGGTAGCCTAGGGAAATCCGAGTCTTTGTTCCACTGTGGTGTGTTTTACAGATGATTTGCTCTGATCAATATCACTTCCTGTTAGTCGTTTCATTTGCTGCATGAAAGCTAGATTTGATTTTGTGCTCTGACAAAAAAAAAAAAAAATCTATTTTAATATTCTCTGAAGCACAGATCCTCTGGAGCTTAAAGTTTGCTTTCTGTTCCCCTTCTGAGCTCCTCTGAGGTTTCAACTTTTGCATGAAACACTTTTTCTTTTTCCGAGCAGCTTAAGATCTGTGCTCAGTTTGCAAATTTACTTAGACAACAAAGTTCAACCAATAAATGAGAGATTCTGCTCCCGTTATGATTTAGTAACAAGTTTAAGAATTAATCAAACTGATGCCTTTTTTCGTTTTAATCAACTCTAAAGCCCTGTGGATGTCGACCCACGCTTTGCAGAAACCCTGACTGTGCGCTCTCAGGTAAATGGGTTTACACGCGGTTAGATGAGTGGATGCTTGCTGCCGGTTGGGTTATAGAGTCTCATCCTGGATGGAAGCTGGGCTGCACCCTCAGGAATGCACATATGTGTCAGAATGGCGCGGCCCGCCGCCGAGTCAGAGCGAGCGGCTGCATGCACACACCTGGGAGCTTCTTGAATGTCGCTGCACATCGTCATGCCGACGTGCATCCAGGCTCCTCCTGGCCTCTGTTCCTGATGCATGCAGCTGGAGGTCGGCGTATATCATCCTGAAAATGTCTCCCACCCCTCCAGTGCCGCACACACAGAAAACTCCACCACGCTCTGTACATTTATCCGATTGATTTTCTTTGCTGTAATAGCCTTCAATTGGAGTCACTCCGGTCCACTTTCATGGCCGAGCACCGATGAAAGGGGCCCATTCACCGCTACATTATCCAGGGAGTTTTCAGGGCTGCTGACAATAATCCTCGGAGGGAAAGGTGGAGGGTTATTCTGGGTTCTGCAGCTGTAAAAAAAAAAAATAAAGATATACATATGCTTTTAAGTTGGGGGAAATCTCTTTCCTTCTAACTGCAGCTAAACCTCTAACCACAGTATAACCTAAAAGGAAATACGTTTATTTCCTGTTTTTATACAGATAATCTCTTTATAAAACAATATTTAACATAACAAATCTTCATCAAATTATATTTCATGTTACATTCTAATGACTGAACGATATTTCTAAACTGACCTGCCTTTACTCTGTGTTCCTGTACCGCCTGTAAACCCTGGAATAGCCATTGGTTGGTTAGTGGCTATGGCTCTTTAACATCCTATAATGAGGAGCAGGGAAGGAAGCTGAGTGTTTTCTCTGCCTGAATGGAGCATAAAGTAGTGCAGAGCAACCCCTCCCCTGCCTGTTGCTGGTGGGCCACAGGCACCCAAACTTTTGCATTGTCAAAATTTTTTTTTCCCTTTAGATAAAAGTAAATGGATAATGTTTTACATCATCTAAGCGAATACTAGTAAAGCAGGATATTTTAACCTTAAGATGGGAAGGAGTGAGAATCCTATTCAAGTAAAGGTTCGTCTGGAAAAGTATGGAAGTGAAGCATTAGTCAGATCTGGATAAGTTTGGAAAAAAAGGTCTAAATATGGATCCTCCTTCCATTTTCATTCATCCAACCATTCTTCCATTCCATGTATCAGTTTATATTTCTGTTTACCCCTTCTCTCCTCTCTGTCTTGGTTTTCTATTTCAACAAAAAAAAAGTCTATTTGCATACAAGTCTGGGAAAGTAGGAAACTTCAACCTGCAGACTGTGGAGGGACCCTGCATGTAGGTCAACGTTAGGCCAGCTGTGCCCCCACGGTGAGAGAGCGTGTCCTTTTGGCAAGCAGATTATCCTGCAGAAATCAAAAATGAAAGCTCCTCTGACATCCCGGGTCAGCCGCCTCATTATTACAGTGGAGTGTCATCAAAGTCTGACGAGACGTTTCTGTGGCTTAGCAGCTGCGTCATCTTCCTCCCATTTAATACTTAACCAGCTTTAACTGGTATTGACTTTGTACTTTAGCTACTTTACGGGCCGCGCTCAAGGTCACCCGGAGGAGTCAGGAAAAGTTAAAAAGCGATCAAATGGAGCGAAGGGAAAGATTAAGAGGGAAATCAGAGGGATGTTTATGTGGTTCTTTGCTTTGAAAGGAGTGAAGGGATAGTCCTCGCATTTTAAGACAACAGGAGCACCAATTAAGCCCCTAT